TGTGTGAATGTATACTTTGGAAGGGACTGATGGATGAACTTACCTAGGTTACAGTTTTATTTTGAAAAGACTTAAGAGGGTTTTTTTTCGAGAAATATGACGGAATTTTAGGTTATCAAGTGCCTTGTGTACTAGAAACTGTCGCTCTGTCGCTCCCCCTAGTTCGGCGGCATTCCTGGGGAAGTCTGGTATAATTTTAGGCAAAGTCGTTCCGATCCCTCGAGATTCTCGTTCTAAACTCTCCTCCAACCTAATATTTAATAACTTTTCTTGATATCCTGTCTGCTACCCAGCCCCTCCCCCTTGTGGACCACGGAATTTCATACTGAGGAACACAAGGCTGCCCTGCTGAGGTTCCTGGGGTGAATTTCTGTGTCCAGATGCGGGTGCACAGCGCACAGACACCGGCAATTAGTCGTGGTCAACACAAAATTAGCGCACATGGCGACCCTCGATGAACTCTTGCCTAATCCGTAATTGCCTTCTCTCGACTACCAACAACTCAAGGCGATAATTGATGGTCCTGCGAAGATTGGCCGCTGTACCAGAACTTGATATGGTGCAGGTGACAACAAATTGGATTATAAGATCCTACACAAAAGGCGACGATGCGTACACAAACGTCTTGGAATCGTTGCAATCGATTCGACTGTTTAGATTCTATCAGTGCTAGCAAGAAGATCGTCACCAACCTGTATCCTAGCCTCGTTCAACTTTGTGATTCGAGCCAACTCCTCGCGGACGTAAATGTCGGGATAATGGCTTTTCTTGAAAAAGTCACTTTTACAGTAAATAATTGGTAGAGGGGTGGAAAAAACCTGGGAAGGCTGTTTTACCTGGAAAGCAGAGTCGAGTTCAGCTAACTGTTCTTGTGTGAAAGTAGTACGGTGACGTCTCCTGAATATTTTTCAATGTTAGAGGTTGGAATTTTCAATAAACAAACTTAGGCTCTCCAATTTACTCAACATAAGATGCCTGTCAATAATTTTCTGCTCGGTCGGACTATTTGATATTGTTAGGCTATTTCGAATAATTTTAAGGAGCGAGTGTCCATTTGATGATGATGCCCCCCCCCACATTCTTATCTGCAATCAAACGCATGGAGTCGGTAGATCGATGACGCTCACAAACGCATTCTATACTAGCTTCACGTGGGTAGGAAGGGTGTTTCTGTCCTCCTACCTTTTTCACACTAAAATATCTTAAAGGTGTTTCATTCGTTGGATCAGCCGCTTCGCAACCGCTCGCGGCTATTCTAAAATACCTCATCACGCTAATTGAATGAAA